TATTGAAGTTTTACAATCTCAATTCTCTGTCAAATTCTCTTGTTTTCTTGCTTCGTTCTTAGCTCCAAATCTTCAGAATAATTACTTATTGTCCCATATTTTAAACATTTAAAAAAGGTCTTTTAAATAGGCTCCAAGTAACTTAATTTCCAAAATTTTGTGAGCTTTTTACTTTTGGAAACTTGATGTAATGCCACGGCCATGATTTCTTGGCGTCGACGTGCCAAGATAGACTTTGGTAGCGTCACGACGTTATTTCTTCAGCATCGTGGAGCCGTGCTCTTGGGTTTTTGTATGATGTGCCTATCTAGCCTAGCTCCGCGACCATAAATTTTTAGCTCTGTTGCGATGGTTCCTTCAGTGCTACAACCATGAGTAGCTCAGCACCACAGCCTCAGCCTTAGTCGTCCTGCTGCCTTGAGCAGAATTACATCTGTCGAGCATTGTGCAATGTGATTTTCAGCTTGATATGATCCGAACTGAGCAAAGTGATAAACATAAAAGTTTTAGCTTTATCTCTTTAACTTTCTAATGGCTCAAGAATCACATCAATTGGACTTTTGGAGTGAAAGAAATAAATTAGAGCTTATTTCATTAAAATAAACTTAGGTTGAGCTTAAGTAACATTTTAAAGAAATAAACTTAAACGGGTGACCAATAGCACCTTGACAAAAAGATTGGTGGGGACTCCAAAATTTTTCACGTTTAGTGATTAGGTTCTTGGATCCATGACACATCACATTCTATAGTAGTATAACACAGTGTTTCCCTTTATAAGATGCCTTAGAATTTTTATTGCATTTTTTTCTTCTTGTTGTAAATGCAATAAAGATATGTGGATTTGAAGTTGCAATAAAGCAATTTTAATGCATATGTTAAAAATAAAGTAAATTAGTATCAAAGGTATTATTAAACAAAACAAAATTAAAGCAAGTATTATTAAACAAATATTATTAATTTTTTTTGTATTTTGGTAAAATTTATTACTTATTTACAATAAAGAGTAAATTTGGTCTCATCATCTATTATTTGTGTTCGTTTTAAAATGATTATAGTTTTGATTATGACAAAATGATCAAATTTGCTTGAACATTATTTGAATGATATTTGATAAATTTTTGAAATGATTTAGCTTTTATACATTTGTTCTTACATGATTACAAGCTTAATTGTTTTAGTTGTGTGAATCAATGAAACTATTGAATTATCACATTCTTGTTCTACAAATGTCTACAAGCTTCAATGACTTAATCGTTTAAGTGTTTAATTTGCTTGAATGACTTCTAGTTATTATCCTTCTAACATTCATATTTGAGATGTTGAAGTTGCAAGATAAGGTCACAAGTGTTGAAGCTTATCTCAAAGCATTCAAAGATGGTTGATTTCACAACACCAAGGTTGTTTTTAAGCCATGAATTTCACTCTCAACTCAACATTTAATCACAGGGAAAAAGCAAGGAAGTAGCCAAAGTTAAGTACCAAAATGTCAAGGTATCTTGAAGAAGCAAAGCTCCAATTGATCTTAGTGTAAAACAAGTCGATTCTATGGCGATAAATCATGCAAGTATGGCTAAGTTCGTCTCCTATATATGCTGCAGCATTTCAAGCATAACTCTCACTAAAGAAGTCTAATTGATGTGATTTTTGAACCATTAGAAAGCGAAGAGACAAGGATACAACTTTCATGTTTATCACTTTACCTAGTTCAGATCAGATCGAGGTCAAAATCACATTGCAAGACATTGGATTATTGTAATTTATGCACTAAGCAGCACAAAAACTTTAAAAAATATAGCCAAAGTCGACCCCATAAGGTCTGTAGTCGATCCTAAGGAAGTGAGCACATGAAATCCAAGCTTTTATGAAGCCGTAGTCGACCTTAAGTGAGTCATAGTTGACTACACCAAGCCAGATTTTAAAAATACAAGCTTTCTGAAAAAGGATCGACTAGAGAATTTCTATACTCGATTGCAAAGTGACTATTAAACACAAAATTCAAAAGGATAATAGCTAGGATCTTGCTCTAATCACCTTTAAAGGCTCCGAGACTTTTTCAACTATAATAAGGGCCATTAAAAAGCATTTCAAGTTGAGGTAGAAGAAAGAGAAAGGGCCAAACTCTTGAAGATCATGGTCTTGAAAAGAAATTAGAGAAAACAAAGCAAAACCAAGCCTACTTAACCTAAACTTTCTTTGTGCTTTCATTCCTATCTTTATATCCTACGTTTAAACCCAATGTTAGGCATTTTTCCTCAATTGTACCCATTTAGCAAAATTTACCTTTTAGAGGCACTCTTGTTATTCTTGTAAAGGTTCTAGCTTAGCTTTGAAAAGTTATTACTATTCTTGTAAAGGTTTTAACTTAGCTTTGAAAAGTTATTTTGTAAAGGTTATCGCTTCTTATAAAAAATCAAGACTCTCTTTGTGAATTGTGTATGGGTTTGTGGTGATCCCATTAAATCTATGTGAATTAGTTAAAAACCATGAGTTTTGTGGTGAACCTGTTAAAATCATGGGTTTGTGGTGAACATGTGAAAAAGCCGTTGTAAAGGTTATCATTTCTCTTTAAAAAGTAAGAATTCTTTTGGTGGATTGAAAATTCCTTGGTAAATCAAAAGAGTGGATATAGACATTCGAGAAAGCCGAACCAATATAAATACTTGTGTCTACATTTTCATTTTTGTCTTTGCTTTAAATTATTGCACTTAACTATGAAAAACTCATTTTAAAAATTGCTTGTGCCTTGATTTCATGCTCATTACAAAATTGGTTTGTGTCTTCTTAAAAATATTTTTTAGCCATCACAAATTGTCCATTTCTTGTTGAAAATTTTTTTTAAAACGTTTTTCTCAAAGTTGCCTTTATTTGATTTGCATTTGAAGAATGTTTAAGCATTTCAAAGTAACCATTTATCTATAATTGATTACGTAGCTTTATTAAAACTTGCATATACATCAATGCTTTTGTTGAAATTCTCTTACAAGTTTTCAAAATAAGTTTTCTAGTTTAGGATTGATTCTTAAGTCTTTATAATCAACCATAATTTTGTTTGAAAGATATTGGAGTTGATTTGAGAAAAGAATTACAACCACGAGAGCTTTTGTAGTCGATTACAGCTAATTGTTTTACACTTTTCAAATTTTTTAAAATCTAATTCACCCCTTTTGTATATTTTCTTTGGGCTAACATTTCTAACAATTTAGATCTTTTTTTATTTAAAAAATCTTAAATTTTAATAAAGGATATTTTTATGATTGAATACTTATTTTTTAACTATTCTTAAAATTATTCCTACTAACGGAATAATGAAATAAGCCATACTAACAATTTCTGTCTGATTCCATTCCCATGAATAAATCTAAATAATAGTTATTCTTCTCTTATTTTTTTCATATGGAATGACAATTCCATTCTCATTCTATTCCTTATTATGAACCAAACATACCAAAAGGGGAGGGTAATATATAATCCAACATTTTACAAGATTTTAATGATTATGAACCAAACATACCAAAAGGGGAGGGTAATATATAATCCAACATTTTACAAGATTTTAATGAATAGCCATTCTTTAGAATGGCTATTCCTTCCTCCAAAAACAAAACCAAACGGATGGAGAAAATTTTTTAAGGAATATAAGGGGAATGGCCAACTAAACATCCAGTAAATATTAGCCATTTCATACCTAATGGAATAGCATCTAAAAGTTGAAAAACTTAAATGCCTTCACTCATTTGAGAAAATTAGAATTAAAGACTTATAAAAAGTTTCTTTCTTTCTCATTATTCTCTTTTTCTTCCTCTCTCTTCCGATGCCTACTTTCTCATTTTCTCTCTAAATTTCCTTCATCCACCATCGGAGGGCAGTAGTGGCTTTAGGACTAGATTTGGAGCTCTTTGACCACATCCGATCGAGGAAATGTTGAATTCGGTGTCGATAGCTAGATCTGGTTGCGAGAAGCTCTAGATTTGGTACTTCCCAACTAGATCTTCATGGCTAAATTTGGTATTCTACGATCAAATCCAATTACGTAAAGTGTTGATCTGGTGCCCTAGTGGCCGAATCCGACTACAAGGAATGCCAAATTGGTGCTTTGTTATGCCGGCCAAAGGAGAAGAAAAGAAAAAAGAAGAATTTAAAACAAAAAAGTTTAAGTTTTTAATTATATGCCATAAAAAGTTAACATTTTAAATTTAAAAATGATTAAAATAATGAATATTTTAATCATAATAATGCTTAAATTATGAATAAAATAATAGTATTTTAAATACTAATAATTAAATTTATAAATAAAATATTAATATTTAAAATACAAATCGGTAACATTTCAAATAAATTATAAATTATGAATATTTTAAAAATAAAACAAAAATAAATAATCACATATTATAATAAAAATATATTTTTATCTTTTTATACTTATTCTTTTATTATTCTAAAGTTATTTTTACTAATTAAAGGTTACAATAAGTCATAATAACATTTTTATCTTATTTTTTTCTATTGACGAAACTATATAATAATTATTTTTATTTTATTCTTATTTTGTTCTATTCTGATAGAATAATTATTTTATTTTATTCTATTTTGCAATCCAAACACGCTTAATATTTTATATAAATTGTAAATTATTAATATTTTATTTGTTTTTAAAAATAAAAAAATCATATTAAAGTTTTAATTAAAAATGTGTTATTACTTTAATAAATTATCAAAAAATTAAATATTTTAAATTGAAATCATAAATTACAATAAAAAATATTTTTATCTTTTTATCATTCATTCATTTATTATTTTAAACTATTTTTACCAATAAAATATTAAAATAATGTGGTAATAAAAATTTGTGAAAATGGAATAGTTAGTCTAATTCTCTTTATTTCAAGGAAAAAAAATAATAACCTGCGCTTCACCTTTATGCTTTTCTATTCGCTGAAGAGTAATAATTAAAAAATGGGCCGCTCCTTTCATAAACTCCCGCTCGAATTCAAAACAAAAAATTCAAAAGGGCAGATGCAGACTGCAGAGGAGGGATGAATGGATAGACAGAAAGACAAGGAAACCGAAAATGAGAGAGCAAGAAATGGCAGAGACACAACTGATGCGCAAAATTGCCAAAATCTTCGACGAGGCCAAAACGTCCAACGCCACCCATCACCGCAAGCTGAAAGAGCTCTCAGCCGTCCGATCAAAATTCGCCTCCCTTCATCAATTCTCCGTCGCCTTCGCCAGAACCTTAACCCCTCTCTTTCAAATCCAAAAGCGAACGGCCTCCGTGGAACGCGTCGTACGCTTCGTTTCAGCCTTTGCCAGTGCCCGAGACCCCATTGACGCTGTCGCTAGCGATGAGTTCTTGGAGGGCTTTCTAAAGTTTCTCTTGGTTGGCGCTGCGGCCGCTAATAAAACCGCCCGATTCAGGGCTTGCCAGATTATTTCCGAGGTCGGATTCTTCAAATTCGACTTTTTAGGATTTTGTGTGTGTGTGTTTTAATGATATCAATTGATAATTTATATTTTAAACAGATCATACTGCGGCTGCCTGATGACTCAGAAGTGAGCAATGAACTATGGGATGAGGTGATAGAGTTAATGAAATCTCGGGCGGTGGACAAGGTTCCTCTGATCCGCACACTTGCTGTTAGGGCGCTTTCACGATTTGCGAATGATGCTGAAAACAGCGATGTTCTTGATTTGTTTCTCGAGGTCCTTCCATTGGAACAGAATTCGGTCAGTCTCTGAACTTATTTTGTTTTCTTTTTCAATGGATTTCCTGATTTGGTATGAAAATCTTAATTTCTGCAAAGGTTTTCAAGCAAAATAATGAAAATTACTTAAGAATTCTCGGGGGCTACTGCTTACAGGAGGTTCGTAAGACCATTGTGTTATCCTTGCCCCCTTCCAATACAACTTCCCAATTAATCATCGATTGTACAATGGATGTAAGTGAGTCAGTACGCAAAGCAGCATACTGTGTTATAGCTAACAAATTTCCTCTTCATAGCCTCAGGTACTGCTGCATCTTAATTCCATACTTGAGCTGTATCCTATGTCTTTCATTTAACAAGTTCTTACATCTTGTTTTGTTTAATTTGCTTGGTCTGTTAGCATCAAGCAAAGGACAATAATTCTTCAGAGAGGACTTGCTGATCGTTCTTGGGCTGTTTCGAAGGAGTGTTTGAAGTTAATGACAGATCAGTGGCTTGCTAAGTGCTGCAATGGAGATCCTATAGAACTTCTCAAGTATCTCGATGTTGAAACCTATGAATCAGTTGGGGAGTCTGTAATGGAGTCTCTTCTAAGAGCTGGTTTAGTAAAACTGGATGATGGGCAAAGTATGCGGCAATATGTATTACCAGCATCAACGAATGAAAGAATCGAAGGTTTGTGGAGATTTTGGATATGCTTGCTAAATGAGTAATGATCATCTTTTTTTCACTTTTACAATTCCACAATCTCTGTAAAAACTATAATAATAACCCTGTAAACATGTTTGTGGTGGTTGAAGTTGCCCTGCGAAAGACTTGGATGCAAACTCTTTCTATTGCTTAAATATGATCCTTTTGGGTGTGTTAAGTCTAGTATACCGCCTTGGGTTTCATCCTTGGGCAGTTTTTATAAAATAATTTCATTTATGAAAGACTTTTAACATACGTCTCTGTATTGTTTTGTGGAAAAAGGAGAAAGATTTAGAATTGTGCGGAGTTAGGTGGTTCAATTCCTCCCACATGGCTTGAATGTGTTCTTCATCTGGGGGGTTGGGTCAGATCCAGATGTTTTGCCTTTGAATTGCATCCTTCTGTGCTACTCGTAGAACATTTTGCTTGTGGAAAATCTGAAAGGATCGAGTACAAAGCAGGTTTTGAAATATGTAACCAAAAGAATTATATAAAAGTATAAATTGGACATGATATTATTTTCCCTATGTTTTTTTTCTTTTATTTGTAACAAGTTGGTGATTTAATTTCCCATTTTTGTTGTTCTAAAATTTGAAGAAAAGTCTTGTTTTTATTTCCATAATCAATGCATGAAATCCAATATGTTTGGCATTTTGTGAGGTTTTCCAATCCAACGATTAATAATGAAGAATTATGGTTGTACTTCCTTTGAGTAGCAATATGTTATTCTTAAATTTGTACCTCTTCAGCTGGTTATTAGTTTACTTCCAATGACTGTTTCTTGGATTTCGTGTTGGGAACGTCAAACCAATTTGCCATACTTATATTTCTTTGATTAACAGGGAAAGCATATCTTGTAACACTTCAGTTTATACAAGCAAAAATTCTACCTTGATTTTTTCTGATATTATTTTAGGATATTTAGCAGATTATTCTGCAAGCATCCAACTAATGGAACCTGAGGTCTCTCTTTATTGGAGGACAGTATGCAAACATTTGCAGATGGAAGCACAAGTAAGCTTGTTATTCATCTATATCTTTGACTGTTTATTTATTCTTTTCCAAATTTATTGGACATATATTTAATGAGCACTTTCTTTTATTTCTTCTGGCCTATTTAATTACTTTTAGAGTTCCCCTGTCGTGAGGGTTTGAAATTGGATGACATAAGTTACTACTTTGTTAAAACTTAGGACTTTTATTTGATCACAATAGGGGCGTTTTATGATATTCCTGGATAAACTTCTGGATTTGGGATGAATATAAGGCGTTTTTAATAATATTATGTTAATATTCTCCTTTTTGAACTTATATAGCATTTTTATTACTTAAGCAACTGGTTTTGAAAGAACTCTCTGACAAGAGGGAGTGTTAATGTTTAACAAATACTTTCCAAAGAATATGCTCTGACTTAAACTCTTTACATCAAGAAAAATGACAATAATTTTTAAACCATGTCTTTGTTTTTGTTGGTTGCTGAAGAGCAAATACTTTTATCATTTCATTCAAAGTACTCTATAATGTTAAACTTGCTACCAAGAGAGTAATTGGTCTGGCTCTGAACAAGCATTTCTTCCTTGTTCCTTATATGAAGAATTTTTCATCTAAGGACAATAGATAATTTTGTTATGGTTTTTGACCATTCAATGATTTTAAACCATAGGCATTTTCTTTCATCTGTTCAAGTTATTTTTTTTAAATAGTTCTCTCTACTCCCAAATTTAATATAAAAAACAGTGGTAGTGAAACAATGTTGTGACAGGTAACAACTAAGATGGTTATTGTATCGTATTTGAAAGTTATTTTTTTTTAATGTTTACAGCTTGAATTGTTAGAAAATCATTCTCTTGCTGAGTGCATAATATGTCTGTCGTTGTATTAATATTAAATCAGCTTTTGATGATTAAGAATCTTTTCGGGAAAAGGATGATTCCGATGAAGATATTAGTGGGAATAATATTCCAGGATTCACAAATATTTTATAATTTAGAATTTTCATTTTACTTGGAAAACACTACTTACAAAAACATAGAAAATGTGCTGAGGGTGCTATAAGGCTTCTACCCCGATTTGCTATTGGATTGTAAGTTTTGCAAAGAGAAATAAAAGAAGAATTGGGGTGTGAAATGGTAGAAATTTCAAAGTTTTTAAAAGAATTTCTAAAGGGGCCAGCTTTTATTAATCATAGCATGAATAGAGTCTAATGTAATATTTTGACAATCTTTTTCAGGAGAAAACCTAAAGCTTGGTAACTTTCTAGCATTTGATATGCCTGTTCAATCTTTGTAATTAGCTTACTTTGTCAACATAAGTACAAAAAAGGACCTGAAAAGATGTAGTTTTATTATTTTAGATCTCCTTGAGTTGAAATGAGAAACATGTCATTAAATTATGACTATAAATCAAGTTTTGTGCTATCAACTGGATTGCCAAACAACCTTTACCATCTTTTCTTTTGTTGTCACGTAAAACTGGTTGATGTTTTATACCTCAGTCTCAACTTAGCCATGATAGCTCTTGCATATTGAACTTGCTTTTGCAAATTTATTTTTATTTTTTTAGTTTTATAAAATTGGCAACATAAGATGATTGTATTTAGTTTTATATCAATATAAGACTGAAGGATGGCGAGCAATTTTCTTCACAGTTTTTAGACCTTTGATGGTGATGATTTGTTGACAATTATTCTTGAGTTAATAACATTACATAAACTTTCATGATAATATAGAACATAACACATTTTTGAACAGGCTAAAGGTTCTGATGCTGCTGCTACAACAGGAACTGAAGCAGCTGTATATGCTGCAGAAGCTTCAGACAACAATGATCTCTTAGATAAAAGTCTTCCTGAAACTGTCTTTGATTACATAGATTTGGTCAAGGCTCATATTGATGCTGGTGGGTTAGGTTCTTTTGATCAACAAATGTGTAAAGTATTTGTTCAACTTTATATATTCTAATTTGACCAGATAATTTCAGGGGCAAATTATCACTTTGCATCTCGACAGCTACTACTGCTCGGCGAAATGCTTGATTTTTCAGATGCTACAATCAGGAAGGTTGCTAGCTCCTTTGTGCAAGACCTACTGCACAGGCCTCTTGAGCATGAAGTGGATGATGAAGGCAACAAAGTTGTGATTGGAGATGGCATAAATCTTGGTGGTGACAGAGATTGGGCTATTGCAGTGGCGAGGTTGGCAAGGAAGGTTCACTCTGCCACTGGTGAATTTGAAGAAGTTATTCTTGGGGTTGTAGAAGAGCTTGCACGTCCTTGCCGGGAGAGAACTGCTGACTTTATGCAATGGATGCACAGCCTTGCTGTCACTGGTCTTCTCTTGGAAAATGCAAAATCATTTCATTTTGAACTGCTTCATTCTTTGTTGCTTCCTGGGGTATGGATTTGGTTGCATCTTTCTGTTCTACATTGATTCCACTTTATTCATAATGAAATCCTAAAGTCCTATGGTAAATAGCCTCATGTCTTCAATGATGCTTTTCTATTCTTACCTCTTAATATTATACGCATGTGCTTCAAGTTTCTATGTTACCTGGACTTGGGGGTGAGTGTTGGATAAAGGTATGTGTCCAACACGGGTATGGCCAATTTTTTCTAAGTTTTCCCATATATTTGGAGGGCAAGACCTCCATACCAATGTCTGTTGGATATGTGTTGGATACGGGGTACTTCAAGGAAAATGAAGAGTTGGAGTAACATAGTCAATTTTTGTTGCTTCCTGGGGTTTGGACTTGGCTGAGTCTTTCTGTTTTATTTGGATTCCACTTTGTTATTCATAATAAAATCCTCAAGGCCTACATGAAATAGCCTTAGCTCTTCACTGAGTATGGTTTTTTATTCTTACCTCCTAATTATATGCATGACAAGATGAAGAGTTTGGTTTTTTCCTTAAATTCTCTAGGGCATATTTTATATGTTATATTAATTTGTTCATATTGTTATGTGCATTTATTTTCATTTGTGAAGTATCTATTTGAGGAAAGGTAAGAATATAAAGAGTAGAACTTATAGCAAATGAAAGTGAGCTTCTCTGCATTAACCTTGATGCAAATGTACTTAATATATATTCCATATACATGCAATTGCTATGAGTTTGCCTAGATTTTAGATGTTTTAAAATGCCTAAGTAAAAAAATTGTCTAAAAATTTATTTTTGGAAGGATTTAACAATTGATATGGACTATAAAATGCAGGCAAAACATGTTCACTTGGATGTGCAGAGGATAGCTGTCCGGTGCCTAGGTTTGTTTGGGTTGTTAGAGAATAAACCAAGCGAAGAACTAATAAAGCAGTTGAGGATCTCCTATGTTAAGGGCCCTTCTCCAATTAGCACAGTTGCTTGTAAGGCGTTATTTGATCTTGGGATGTGGCATGGTCCTCAGGAAGTTGATAGGGCCATGGGACTTAACTTTTCTACACAGCTCCAAGAAGATAACATGCCCTCTATTCCTGTAAACTTTTCTGACACAGATGGAGATTTGAATATTCAATTACTTGATCTCTTATATGCTGGATTTATGACAAATAATTGGGGTACAGCTCTAGAAAATGATGAAAGTGAATCAGTCCAAGCTGTTCTTGGAGAGGGATTTGCAAAGATCCTTCTTCTAAGTGAGAAGTATCCAAGTATACCAGCCTCTTTTCATCCTTTGCTCTTATCCAAGCTGATTAGCTTGTATTTCAGTAATGAATCGAAGGACCTACAGAGGTTGGTGGATCTGAGCCTCTCTCCTCTCTCTTTTACTTTATAAAATTGTTCTCATCTTCTTTACAATGATGGCCATTTCAACGTGTTTTTCTTTTAACTGTTGACTAGATTGAAACAGTGTTTATCTGTTTTCTTCGAGCATTACGCTTCCCTTTCAGCAAATCACAAGGTAGGCAATACTAAATTCCGGATATTATGTGGTTTTTGTAGACACAGACACAGAAGTTATATGTCCAATGTGTCAAGACTTGTTTGTTGATGATGATAATTCTGATTTTGCAATCACAGAAGTGTTTGTCCAAGGCTTTCATTCCAGTCATTCGTTGTATGTGGCCGGGTATAAATGACCATTCTGGAGGTTCTTCTTACATGGTGTCCAACATGCGTAAGCGTGCAGTACAAGCTTCAAGATTCATGCTGCAAATGATGCAGACTCCCCTATATGTGAAAGAGACTGAAGTGGAGGAGGATATTGGTTGTAAGACAGCACCACAAGTCATAGATGGCTCTGAACATCCTTCAGTAGAATGTGGGGAAGAGGGACTTGCAATACGCATAGCCGCAGAGGTAATTGTTCACAACTGTAAATTTATTTTGTGGTTTATGATTGCCCTTAAAATGCTAAAGAATGAATACTAAAACTATTATGTCTTTGCTTGACAAGCAATGTTTATAAGTTATGATTGTTACATTGTAATAGCCTCATAGGTAGTCTTTTCTTTTTCCTTTTTCTTTCCCCTTGGGATTCTACAAACCATATGCTACCTTGTCCCATTAAAGTTTTCACATAAAAAAAAAAACTAAAATCTTTAATTAATTAATTAACTGGACATTTAAGAAAGAACTTGTATTCATATTACTAATATTGTTAAAGTTTAGTAGTTAACAACTAGAAGTGAAATTTAACATTTCCCAATATAATGATTAATAAAAATTTGTCATTTTGTATGCAGACAATTTCAATGGGCTGGAGGGAATTTTATTTTTAGTGGTTGAATTCATACCAGTCCTCTAAACCAGATTATTATTAAAATCCTGTTTTCTTTTATGCCTTGAATAGACATTTTAACAAAAGTTGAAAGAATGTTCTCCATCAAACTTACTTTGGGTTGTGGTGCTGGCCTTTCCACATATTTTTCTGAATATCCAGTATCCTTGATTGCAGAGAGAACCAACAGTTATTAACTCCTATTTCTTGAAGTCCTACTCTTCTAGTCATGTGCTGTTGGTGAAAATTACATCATTAGTACTCTAAAACCAAGTAAATTCCTCTGGAATGGTTTTAGTGCTCTGTCGAAGAGATTAATATCTAACTAGTAGGTTCTCAAATGATTATTCAACTGCTATAGCCGGTTTTCTATTGCCATACCCTCATCAAAATCAATCCTTTGATAAGATCTCTGACCAAACCAAAAGTTGTTACAACCAAATAGCAACTTAATGCCGAGCAGATTTCTATTTAATGACTTTAAAAGGGCTATATTATTTCTTCTGTCTGGATTTTCTTCAGTGCAGTTTTAAAGTATATGCGATTATCACATAGCTTTAGCCTTCCCTTCAAAGGGCTGAAGGGTGGTGAGAATAACGTAGACATCTAAGGTTTTGACATTTTCATTGTGTACTTATATTATAGGACTCTATTGGAAATCAAGATAATTTCGGATGGAGTACATTTACTGTGTTTATATTCAGAAGCTTCGCTTCAAAGCAATTCCTATATGCTGATGATTTCTGTTTCTCCATTGATGCAAAAAAATTTTGTTATTTTGTTGCATTGAAAACCATGGATGTGTTGTATGGAAGATGGGTATACCGGTGGCATAAATCTTTGAGGAAGACTACCTCATTTTTGAACAAACTAATTTGATACCTACTAATTTGTTACTCTTATGCGTTCCCAAGGTGGTGAGGTTCCAAGCGAAGAAGACACCCGCGGAGAGGTCATATGTTGCAGCTCTATGTAAAATACTTGCCTCTCTCCATTTCCGCTTATCAGAACAAGGGCCAGTAAAGATAATGCGGAGGCTTTTGAGTCGTGCATGTGAATGTGTGCTGGGAGAGAAAGATGTTGTAAAGGAGTTGAAGCAGATGGCTGAACGTCTTAAGGAACTAGATAGACATCCTGATCAGGATTTGTCTGAAGACGAAGCTAAGTTGATTTTTGGTGAGTTTCTTACACTCACAGGAAAGATATTAAGTTGAGGATGTTGTGCTCTGCATGTCAAATGGGACCTTTCTGATCGAAATATTATACAAAATCTGTCTGACCACATAGATGGCATAGTCTTGTGTTGAAGAATACTTTTCTGGAAACAAACTAGTAAAATTGTCCAGAGCAAACATGAATTGCGTCCAATTTTGGCCTGCTATTTGTTCTTTTCTTTTTTGGGATAAGTGCCTTCTACTTGTTTTCTTTTTGTTATTGTTGGGTGGTCATGTGTTGGTCATTTAACACTAAACTAAATATGTGCTCTCTCAATGTTTTGTAGGAAGGTTAGACCTTGAATTCGACTTAGATATGGATGGTTCCACTGCAGTTCCACAAAGCCCAGCCCCACGCTCAACTCGGCCAATTCGTGTAAGGAGACGGGTGAGACGTGAAGAAGTTAGTTCTGATGAAGAAAACGAAAACTCACCTGCCTCTTTCCAATCCGTGGTTCCCACCGTTCCTGGCACTATAGGCACTCGCTCACAAAGGGCAAGCAAGACTGCAGCACTGGCCAAGATGACTGCGAGTAAAGCTGTAAGGACAGAAGAAGATTGTGATGAAAATGAGGACTCAGATGTCACGTCTGAGGATTCTCAAGAATCAGATGAGCTTACTGACTGAAACCCGAGCCGGTTAATACTCCTTACCTTAACCCCTGGTCATTTATCTGTTGCTGCTATGATCTTGTTCTGAATATTCCAATGAGGCTCCAGATTTTTGTATTGATTATATGTGGTGCGAGTGTTTCCAATTCCAGGTTCGGGGTTGGGGCATGCAACTCGTGGAATTAGCATACAAGTGCATTTGCCCCTCTGATGCCTCTCATGCAAGTTCATGAGCTATGGTTACTTTCAGGTATTTCTGTTTCTTCAGGTCCTATTGGCTGTTTAGCGGGAGAAGAGCTACATGTTATTGGTTTCTTTGGTTAAGCCTTGGGTCGTTTTTCCTCAAATGTCCATCAAGCCCAAAAGCCTTTTACTCTCGAAATGTCCATATACCCCCTCTAGGTTCAGGAAATTACAACCACTCAATTATGAATCTCATTGCTAAAGCTTTCCATGAAGATTTGGCTTTTGTGTTTGCCATGTTTTGCCCTTCACTCGAATTTGTATGGAGGGTTCGTGATAGCCATTAAACAAAACCCATAATCTAATTAATATACAAGTGTATTTTTTTACTGTAATTAAAAAAAATATTAATGGTATTATTGAATAGGTAAACAAAGAAAGGAGACAATGATTAAGTACTTGTGCAGAAAAACAGTAGCCTACGTTGTGTGTGTAGCTGTTTCTCGGTAAACAAGTTATTAATCATGGTATGAGTAAAGAAAGAGGTGGAGTTAGAGATGGAAAATAACGAGTCAAATTGTTGGGCAGTGAGTAAGAATGAGGGGTAGAGCTTTTCTATGTTTATAAATCCCCTTTCCACTCCACATGCAAACCTTGCCTGAAAATATCCTTTTCTGGTGTTTGATTACTAAAATGCACTTGTATATGAACTCAATATGTCGTCGAGATCATCAGTTTCATCAGACTTTAAAGTACTATGGTCTTCAGCAGCACCTGCTTCTCGATCTTCAACTGCTTCATCCTCATCCTGCTCGCCTTTTGTTGCTTCCCCTCGGCTATCACATTTGCCAAGGAAGATGCAAAATTCAATGAGGTAGCTCCAGATGGGATAGGCAGCACATGCCCAAATGTTCATCCATCTATATTTACCTTATCAAACAATCATGACGGTAGCTATCCACCACCATCCAAAGAAAACAAAAAACACGTGGTTGTGGGTAGCATAGCATGCAAAGCAATGTGAGCCATGGTGTGAAATACAGGAAGAGACTTGGACTAAGACGATCCAGATTCAACGATTTCTCCAAGCATCAGCATGGTTGGATAGTTTTTATGTTTATGACCTTTTAATTTCTCAACAATTCGGTATTAGGTAACTATTCCAAGTGCATATAGCCATTCCCACACAGATTTATGTCCTTATGCAGGAGACATCTTCTCATCAACATGTTCACCACATGCTATGTGATCAACATTGCATCATGGTAAATTATCATCGCTATTGGAAATAAAAAAGAAGAAATGAAAACATACATTAATTTCAGGAGTTAATTTCATCTCTTCACGTGTCAAATCAATTGAAACATTTTCATTAGACTTTCGTTTTGCCTGTTTAGTAAATCGTTGCAATTATTACATCTGAATATTTGATTCATTGATTAATGTATGATTTTTCTTTTCTCTCAATTATAAAAAAAAAAAATTGCAGCTACTCAATCATCTTCTCAAAATAGGAATGATCTGCAGGATAATAAAATGATATTACACCTAAGCATGACACAACTCACAATAATTAGACAAGTGGAGCTTCCAATAGCAAACACAATAAAAATGGAATCCACCTTGGGTACGACTTGCTAAAGGCTTAGAAAGCCTCAATGGATATCAACGCTCTTCATTCTTGAATTTCAACTCAGTCTGATGATGACTTCTTCCAAGAAAAAGTTGTATCAATGAGAAACCAGGCCCAAGCAGAATGATATTCTTCCAAGGCCACCTTTGCAAAGTGTGAAGTAAAGACTCGTCCACTACAAAAGAGAAAGGAAATGATTAATAAATAGACAAAGAATAATGTCTCACGAACTTTAATCTGTAGTAGTGGTAACAACCAAATCTTCTCTTTCCACGAGTTGAATGAGAAAACTTCCGGGGCCATTCTTTTGTTGGTTGATCTGATACTTCATTCACTTTCTCATGCTTTTCAACCTGTTTTTCTTTAATTGTCTTATGCTTCCGAGGAGGTTTTTCATTTTTCGGACATGGGTTTCTTTGACCTCCTATAAGTTCTCCTTTTTGGAAATGCACTCTCTGCATTATATTCATCGCCATCATCATCTCTATCCTCATCTATAACAGAACTAGTGGGAGGTTCAGTGGCTGGGTCGTCATCATTACAAGTCCCATCCTCATGATCATCAACAAGCTTAGGACTAGTTACCTGCCTTCTCAACTGCTTTGTTGCTTTACCATTTTCATTCCCCCCATCACTGGCAGAAGATTGTTTGGACTTTTGAGAAGGATTCGGTATTGGAGAGGCCCTCTTTTTGCTGCTATTAGAGCTCTGAGAACCTATAGGGGAACATAATCAGGATAGCATCAGATAATGCAATTTCAGAAAGAGTTTTATCCAAGTGAAAGGAGAAAGTTATGCACAAAAAGATTTACCAGCTTTCCAGGCATGCCAGGAACATCTCCAGAAAGTGTAACACCTGGGTTAGAAGCTTCTGTGAGGTTTGTCAATTCCTCATTCGCTGGGAACTCAGAGGTAGAAGGATCTGGAGGAATAAAAGCACCTACATGCATGGGTGAGCGATAAGGAATTGACTTCTCCACGCACACAGTTTCAGAAGGAACAAACGGAAAGTTTGCAGGATGCATAACAGTATCAACCACAGCAGGTTGAGATGCGACCACACTAGTTTGTAACCTGGTCTTGGTTTGAATTTTCCAGCATGCCGTCCTAAAAGTAGAAAAGTATTTGATATAGACACACAAAAACACCAGATTGACATAGGAGTACTCTAGCACATACCAGAAGCAATGGTCTCCACATCAGGGGAGGCCCCTGCTTCCTGAAATTAATCAATATTAAACACAAATATAAAAGGTGGTAAATGGAAACAAGAAATTCGGTAACTTTTATGCAGTTGCTAATCTTCACCTGTGATCCCGTTCTTTCATCATCAATCTGAATACCTCCATTCTTACCAGAAAATTGAGTACGAAATTGGTCGAGACATTCCAACCCAGAAAATATATCTGCATTCTGAAAGTAACATCAATGTGTTAAATTTTCTTTTTCTTTTCTTTTTTCTTCTTTCGGATGGAACCAATTTGTCAAATTGTACTGAATGATCTGTAGCCAAATAAAGAAAAATGTACTGCATACACCCATACGTTGAAGGAGATAAAACATTTTTTCTTTTACCTCCCCAGCTGATCGTCCAAAACTAGAATGCGAATCATGACAACCATTGGAAACGGCAACCTGTAAAAGCAAAGAATCTATGACAGCTACTTGAGAAGAGGTCATTACTTGTGGGCTCCTACAGTTATCTACAACGCCCTCAGGGTCTACGATACAAGCTGCATTGGAGCCCATTAACGCTAGAATAACAGTATCCTCCTTCATAACATTAGGGAGTTCTGGAGGTATTGAAGTAGAAGTACCTTCTTTACCTTTAGGTCTAGTCTTGGGTTGAAACTTGCCACCAGCTCGACCTGCCACAGAAATTAATGTCACTACTCTGTCACTCAAGTATAATTCTCTGAACGGTATGAAGTAATCAAAAGAATCAACTCACCGGTACTTGTGACTTGGTTTGCATCATCATCAAAGGGCGTCCAAATCAAAATCTACCTAAAACCAAATAAAATTCAGAAGCCAATAAAACTTACGAATATGTAGCTTGTCATAAAGAAACTCAAACACGAAAATCAAAGACCATTACATCTTTTGCCCATATATTAGGAACATAATGGCTCTCATGATTAGTAATAGTCACCGATGTTGGTATATGTCTTTGAACCAATTGGATTGGTCAAGGAATATAGCTTGTCATTTAATGTATACTTAATTGCATAAATATATGTGATAAGAGTTTTCCTTCATGTTAGTGTAATAATAAGGAGTTATTAAGCATTAATTGGATGAGGTCTATGGAACATAAAAGCCTTGTAAAAGAATTCTAAAGTTATTCTAATTATGAGATTACTATACATCAAAGCTATACTCCTAAAATTGTTCTTGGTCATTGTATTGTCCAGATAAGGTATTGACAATGCTCAAAAACAAGTACATGTCAAGCCTCTTAATTTAAAAAGTAAGCAATCGATCTCATAGATTGAAAGATATAAGATACTTGAAGATAACATGTACACACTTATTAAAGAGCAAGTTCACTAAACATGACTCATTATGAGAACTTTATTTGATATTCACTCAAGTGTTTATGCAATATGTTCTCATATGATAGTCGTGCAACTAGTCTTTGGGCTTAAGACACTAGGTCATCTTGTATGAGGAATAATATACTTTTATTTCACCCCTACGGGTCTAGAGGTGACCAGATGCCTAAAGAGAGTGTTTTTGAGTATGTTATGAAGCATGCGAGGTAAATGAGTGGTCAAGGGAGGACTCATCACCCCGAGTAATATGAGGGGATGTATCTCACTTATTCTCAATTATTGATTAACTTGTTAAAGTCTTTGGCCAAAGCATGATGAATTAAGGAAAGTTAGTTTCCTAAATTCATAAAGTTAGTCATGAATTATGAGAACCAATATGGAATGTTATAAGTAAACACTGAGCCATGCTTTACAACATATTCGAGATATTTGATGAAGGGACCACATTGCACCAAGCAGCTTATCACTGAAGTGCTTTGTCAAATTCTTTAATTGACTCTTTAATATTTGGGTGGTCATGATGTATTGCTAGATGCCGTCTATGATCAATAATATAAATCAATTATCAAATTGATATTTAATTAGGATTTATGTTTATTGTCTACATGTTAGAAGCTTAATGGGTTACACACATTAAGTAACATGATTGAGATTAAAGAAAGATAATCAATTAAGTTAGATTTAATTGGAATAGACCAAAATAAAGTGAGAAATTAATTAAGTTCACAAGGACTTAATTGTATTAAAATACAATTGTTGTATTTAGGGTTACAACTTAGTTTGGCAATATAAATATGTTCTGTTAGCAAACTAAAACTCCAAGCCTTAACCACTTTTTAGCTGTTTCATAAAATAAGAAAAGAAAAATAGTTTTCTTTGTTTGACAAAAATAAAATTCGGTAAGAATTTTTGATCTTTTTATTTTAGAAGCAAAACTTTCTCGCACAAGTAAAATCTTACCTTTGAGAAAGTCTTATTTAGTCATTGTGTGGATTATTGTTAGAGATTGAATACTTGGGTGGCTAAAGATTTGACAAATCCTAAAGGTGAAGAAGCAAAGATTTTGGTTGCAAGATTTTAGACTATCTTATTCTCTTTTTGAGATTTCTTGCTTCATCACAATTATTTTTATTTAATTGGGTTTTAATTACGATATCTAGACCAAGGTATGTAACTTTTAAACTTATGAACATTCATAATTAACTTAAAAATTACATGAAAAATACAAATATTGATATTGTAGAATTAGACTGTTTCTCTAATTAAATGCTAGTTTATTATTCCGTTGCGTTATATTTTTAATTTCTTAATTATTTTCAGATTTGAGCATAAGGTCGAATCCCAGTAGTGGTATTAGAGATTTTGTTAATCCTTTCATGTAATGTGCATGCTTGATTCTTGGTAATAATTAATAGGATTAATTTATGTATTGATTTGGTGTATATCAGCTTTAAAAGGTTTCTTTAAAATCTGTTTTAATTCAAATCTGGACAGTATGTAATTAATTTATTAAAACATATTTTAAAATGTTTAAAATCATGTTTAGTTGAGGAATTAATAATTAGATTAAAAGGCTTGCAAAACCAAGTTAAAACCGAATAGTTTTGAGGTGTTTTGGACACTAATGTGTCGATTTTTTTTATTAACATTGGGTAAGTGTTATGAACAATTTTTAATTGTTAAAAAATTAGTTTTATCAAATTAAATTACTACATGTTTCGGCCAAAGTTGATTTAGCATGAAAAAAGGTCATAAAAATCATGTTTTTGAGTTCAAAAACAACAAATATTCAATGTAGAAAATTTTGGGTAGCTATGATCAGTTTTGGTGATTTAATTCTTAATGAATTTTGTATTTAATTGTTAAACACACTTGCTGAAAATTTTTAGTAGCTTTTTCATGAGTTTAACTCATGATTTATGGAGTTTTAAGAGCACTTAAATGCCATCCATTTTAATTTTGTTTGATTCATCAAAAATAGAAAATTGTTTCCAACTTTAAAAGAAATTCCTAAAAGTAAGGATAGAATTTTAATTTTGGGTGATTCATAAAGAATAGGAAATTATTTTTTATTTTAAAAGAAATTCTTAAAATTAAAGATAGCATTTTAATTGGAGAAATTCATAGGAAATAGTTTTCTACTTTGGAAAAAATTGCTAAAGTTATGTGATAGCATTAAACTTTCTTTAAAATTTTAGTTTGACTAGAAGTTTTCAAAATTTGTTAAGTTACCATTAAGGTAACTTGAGCAACATACAATTTAGAAAACTAATCCATATTCTAAATGTTAGAAAAGAAAATATTGTCTTAGATATATTTTAGAAAGTTTACTTAAAATAAAGAGGTTTTCAAAATTAAAAAGAGTTTTAATTACGGAAAGAATTAAAATGGAAAGTTTTAAAAAAGAAAATTTTATTGCAATGAATTTCTAATAAGAAGTAAGAATTTAAAGGTTTACTTTAAGTGTTTTGAAAATGAGAATT